CATGAAGGTTATGATGAAAGTAGATTTTTAATAGAGTCTCAAATGCGGTTTCTGTCAATGTGGAAAATAACAACAGTTTTGGTTTTATTTTTATTTAATTACTATATAGTAATATATAGTATATTATATTATTATTGGCATTTCTAATTCGTTGTGATTTTTCGGCTTTTAGAAAATTATAACTCATACGGTGATATCGCATAGTCCGCTTTATCATCACAATAATATTACATTATAATTTAGGTTGTAGTCAATAAAAAAATATTAAATTTTAAATTCAGTAAAAGGTGCTTAAAAGGCTAAAAAGCTGTCTTAGGATAATGAGGACGAACGCAGCTACCGTTATAGTTAGCTTATAGGTACATTTATATATATCTGTACGCAACAATTAATTATTGCTAACCAAAAAACGATTCTGAGTGGGGTTCGGCCGATAGTATTGCTTTGCCAACAATATATAAGAATATAAAAATACAAAGAGAAAGAAAAAGTGTAATGGTACTGTTTTCAACACCAAATTAATATTACATACCGTTTATAATGTTCTTCTCTTTCCATTGGTTAAAAAAAAAACAAAAAAAATTAGTACCTGTATCAATCACATTTTATTATATTAACTATACTAGCGAATTAACAATATATATAAAAAATATACACTGATAATAAACAGTATGTGACTTCTAAGAGAGCATAGTTATAGAAATAGATAATACATAAAGGATGGGACTTTCATATATGAATCGTGTATCAGGTAGCATGCAAAAAGAACCTGAAAGATACCACATTTCTGGTTCAAACCATCATAATAGTATCAAAATAAAAAGGTCTGATAACAATAAATATTTTTATAATTTCTTATTGATATTTTTATATAATAAGATTTTAGTTTAATAATGTGTCAATATTACAATAATAATAGTTAATAATTATTACATTTACTTAATAGTAAATCATTTCATACGTGTAGTAACATGGTCTCTAACTTTAAAGTCAAACAAAAGTATAAAAAACACAATATCCAAATGCCTTAAAATGTAAGTAAAAACATCTATTATAATGGTTATTACCAAGTATAAAAAAATAAGTGTACCAAATATTGTCATAAGTATAAAATATGGTATAATTAAATTATTAAAAAGTTTGCAATGCCCATTTTTTACTCATTCCTAAAATGTGGAATTTTTTTTAAACTTTTTCTCAATTTTAAGAATGTTATTCGTTTTTCTAGATTCACGGAATAGTCTAATTTTGATATATTTTGTATTACATTTTCTATTAATAGCTTCTATGAGTCAAATTGTTGAATGCCATCAAGTAAGGTACTAGAATCAATAGATACACAATCCATTTTTTTTAAATATATTGAACCTATTGTGTAAAACATTTTAAACTTTATTTATTGTAAGCAGAAAATTAATTTTTGTTTTTATTATGGATTTCATGTGGTGTTATCGAAATATATTTTCTGATATTTTGCATATTGATATAACATCTTTACTTGGCTTTTTAGGCCCCTTTTATCTTTGATTATACTCAAATGACTTTCGTCATTGGTAATCATATTGAAGCTGCATTTTACATGATTTACAATTTATTCTTGTTTCTGGTGTTTTTACCATAAAACCAGCAATGTATGAACAAACGTCATCAACATATAAAGATAATGTATCTAAGTTGATATCATCTGCAATAATATATTTGAATAAAAGTTTAATAAAAGTAAATTTAAATAAAAAAAAGAACGGAATTCTAACCAAAACAAATTTAGATTNATTATTATTCAACTTTTATTTTTATTTGAAATATTAATTTAATATTGTAACTCAAGTTGGAGTTTTTATTTAATTTAACGGGTTTTCTCTAAGTCTTCATCATTACGTTGGGCCCGTTACAGACGTATACGAAAAAAAATTAAGAATAGGATATGAAACATTGTATTATACGTGAATGGATAAAGTGAAGAGAATCGTCAGGTATTTTATTTTACAAGAAAATTCCAATGATACTTAAAGGTAAATTTCATAAGAGTATGATGAAACCGACTATTTTTTATGATTAAGAAGTTAGGCGGTAGACAGAAAAAAAGAAAACAAAGAATAATTGATTCACAGATGATAATATTTAGGCGGAGGGGTGAAGTGACTAAAACGGTAAGATAATGAATGTTTAAGAAGTAGATTAAGCATAATGAGAGAAGAATCAGAAGCATTAAGAATGATAATGAAAATAAACGTAGGAGGAAAGACAAGAAGAGATAGATAAAATAAAATATGTTATTCGATGTGGTTGAGAATCATTTAAGGACACTCAAAGGATAGCTACTAACCAGTGTATGCGAAGTGAGAGGTTTGGTCAAAGAAAAGTTTAAGAGGAGAGTGGCCGTGAATTGTAGGCAAAGGAGAAGAAAACGAATTATCAATTATGATCTCCGCACCAGGATTTCTGCCTAACTTAAATAATTATACACATTTCAATTATACACATAACTTGTATTATAACGCCAGCAGTACACTTATTGTAATAAAAATAAACATGATGATAATGAGTGCTATAAAACTAATATGTTTTCGGGAGACCTTTCCTTGACAAACGCATCGCACGGAGGTGTTCAGTAAATTAAATCACCCACTTCTCCTTGGAAATATAAAACCTATTTATACTATTGCTATACAAAGCCTACAACAATAGATGGTGAATGGTTTTTATATACAATGTGAATTGCTATAAAGTATAAAAAATGTATTATAATTACTATATTGATGTTTTGACAATGCTGTAAACATAATTAAAATAAATGGAGAATTAAGAATATAAGAATATAGAAAGAGAATTAAGGTTAAAAATGTATACAAATTTTTAAAAAAAAATTTGAAGGGGAGATATAATGATCACGTGATTAAAACTATTAAGAGAATTAATAATAATGAATATAAACATATATTATATTAAACAACATTAATATAATTAAAAGCTTTAAATTCCTCATATTATACAAAACGTATCAGGACCTAGTTAATTATAAGTATTATAATGTGTGGGTAAATTAAATATATCTACTAGTATACAATTATTACTACAACAATTGAACGCAATTATATATAAATAAAATGATTCAGACAATAAGGTAGAAGGAGAGACCTCGCATTTCTAACAAATTTCTAGAAACAGAAGAACACGTGAAGATTCTCGACATTTATGCGTAGTAATTTCAAAGCACGATATTCTAACGTCGACATTTTGATTATCGATAATACAACTCATACGATATTTAAGCACAAGGCATTTCAGCACATATTATCATAAGCACTTATTAATACTATGGGAAGATAAGAAAGTTAAATAACAAAATTGATATTGAAACAGAATAACCAAATTATGTAGGAAAATGACTATTTATGATTTAAATTTACTTTTATGATATATGTGAAAATATGTTCACATAAGAATTACACAACCGAAGTAGGAATTCTTAGGAATCACACCATT